GAGTAAACGGGTGAGATTCTCTATTATTTATTAGTTGAAAATTTTACTCTACTTTTAACCCATGTTCCAAAAACGCGGCCGACATGGACACATAAGTGGTGGATACGCGTTCGGCAACAAGGGACCGCCGTGAGTTTAGTTTATGTGTCCACGGCGGCCGTGTTTTCAAAACATAGATAAAAAATAGAGTAAATTTTCATCTAATAAATAAAAAATGCGGTCACCGTTTTATATCCGATTTTGTCATTAGGCGTCCACCTTGTCTGTCCGACTAGCGCCTCATAAGTTTCGAACATTGATTTTAACCATTTCCCACTTAAAATAGTTTCCTTCTATTTTATCTTGACTGGACAAATAATAAGAGTAATTATGTAATATATAGTTTAGCTTACCTTTTTTACTCTAACAATGCGAAACAATAGATCACACCCAGTGTTTTGTTAAGCAAACCTTGAGATATGACAATTACCAACTTAACATTAAATGCATTGTAAGCATAAAAGAGAAGATACACTCTACACGTACACCTAATCCTATTATAATGGTTTTTAATGATTTATTATTTGATAAAATATATTGTAAATCACAAGGTCTATAAGAGGATAATGGCGAGAGTGAGAAGAGTCAAAGCGAGTCCATGAGAGGAACGAGTGAAGGCACATTAACGTCAAATTGATACGGGAGTGAAAGAGAGTGTGAGGATTACAATTATGATCGATGGACTGATTACGCGTTACATGGTGATTTATAAGTAGAATATCAAAGTAGTGTGCACACGCATGATGATATCCAGGACACAAGTGAAACTAGTGCGTACATGAGTAACGATGTATGTGAAAATAAGACATGTTATTGACATAGGTGATGTTAACTAGCAATATCCGTCCGAAGATTTTTTGTGCCTAAACAAAATAAATTTATGCCCATTAAGAAACATAAGAAACAAAACAAAAATCACAAAAATTCGTGCATACTAAGACTCAATCTTGAGACAGAAAAGAATGGTCCAAACCCTATAAGGTTGGAAGTAGTTTATGTAAATAGCAAGACATGTGTGTTTGTGGAGGTCTACGAGCATTGGAGTTGCCAAATTTGATGTTGGAAGATAACAACATAAAAATTTGTACGGTGAAACATGAAAAGTTAAGAAAATCGCGATTGAATATGTTAAACACGATAAGGTAGATGATTACGGGTTCTTGTCAATTTACATGTATCTATTACGTAAAAAAAATTCTAGATTCGATTTATCACATTCATTTGACTTCATAAAACAATGAATGTTTGCGTTTTAAATTCATTTTAGTAGTGTGTTAGAGCATCAATAAAATGCTAAAATATAAAATTGTCGAGTCACATCTTTCTAAAAACTCTGAATAAAGAGTCATAAAGATGTAATGGTTAAAACATGTTCCTCGCTAGTTTCTAAGCAAGTCTCTAAACATTAAAAAATTTTTTAAAAATAATAAAAAATAGATGAAAGAGAGTGAAGATAGTTTTTCGTTTGAGAAACTGTGAGCAAGAGATCAGAAACTCTTGAGCAACGTG